AAACGTTTAAGACGAACGTGCGCGGCGCTACGGCGAGAGCCACATTTTGAAAACGGCCCGCCCTCCATCCGTGAACCTCCTGTGAACTGTTAGAAAGAATGCGCGCGGCGCTAAGGCGCGAGTCTCATTTTGAATACGGCCCGCCCCCCACCCGTGACACTCATGCAAACGGTTAAGACGAATTCGCGCGGCGCCAAGGCGAGAAATGGTCTAAGACGAATGTGCGCGGCGTTGGGGCGGGAGCCACATTTTGGGAACGGCCCGCCCTCCGTCCGTGAAGCTCTTGCTAACTTTGACGAGTGTGCGCGGCGCTAGGGCGAGAGCCACAGATTGAAAACGATCCCGTCTTCCATCGGTGAAGCTGTTGCAAATGTCAAGCTCACGGATCATAAAGTGTAAAGAAGTCTCAGGCGAAACGCTCGGCCCACCCCACCGACACGTCTCGGGGTGCGACAGGGAGGAGTTGCTCATAAGGAAAAGGAATGTAGGAATAGTATAGCGGGATCGCAGGCGAAGGGCCCCAAGGATCAGGAGAAGAAGGACGAGGGGGAGCCCGTCCTCCTCCTCCTCCTCCTCGTCCCCCTCCTTTTCCTCCTCATCTTCCTCCCACAAGATTTACTCTCCGTTCCCAGGGATCCCGCGTTTGGCCCCATGCTCTCCGCAGCATGTGCGGTGCCAGCGCGCCCGAGCGTCCATTTCCGTGTGACGGTGAACCACCGTTCTAGCAGCGCTGTGGCTTAGCTAGGACGGACGAGTTCGCCTCAAGCTATTTTCATGTTTCCTCCTCCTCCTCCTCCTCCTCCTCCTCCTCCTCCTCCTCCTCCTCCTAGTCGCTGTTTGAGGTGCCCAAGAGTCGACCGACCGCACTTCAGGTACAATCGTACACCAGCGATTCCGCGCCCACACCCGCAGGCCTCGGGGGCAGGGGAGACTGGGGGGCCCGCATGGCGAGCCTGTGCGCCTAGGCATGAGAATCTGCTACTACAACCCACAAGAGGCAGCGAGCATAGAACGACTGGAGGACATCAGCGCGGAACTACACAGCTGGGACGTCATTCTCCTCAGTGGAACATGCAGATGGGCGGGAGCAGAAGCAGTACAGAGATACTACCTCCCTAACCACTACGTGTTACAATTCGGTGCTCGTAAGGGGAAGTGGATCAACAAAAGCTGTGGCTTAACGATCCTCATCAGCCAGAGAATCGACGAGCGCAGCGTACGAGAAACCTACACCCCACCAACCAGCCTCCAGGGACGGGTTGCAGGAATTCGCCTCTCGACTGGCCAACACGACTATGTTTTTTTTTGTCTACTATTACGCCCCAACACACTTAGCGTATTACGTGCCATTAGCAGAAGCGATAACCAAATGGTTGGAGCAGTGTGTCGATCGAGTAGGCAGCCGTACGACGATTGCGATGGGCGGGGATGTGAACAGCGACTTTGGTTGCCAGAGAGAAACAGACGGGACTATTGTGCGGAGCAGAGGACCGACGGTAGGAGACAGGGAACCCATAATAGAGAATTCCAACGGCACAAGCCTTAGGACCCTGTGTCAGACCAGCGACCTCAGTATAGTCACCACTTACCACATCGCCGAACCTACATTCTACGGACATTCAGGATACAACAGTCGTATTGACCACATTGTAGTACCTACAGGGGCCCTGGGACTCGTAAAAAGGTGTGAGGTCCTCCATCGGTCAGGCAAAAGGCTCCAAAAGGTCAAAGTACGAGGGCACAGGGACCACCTCCCCATCGGCCTCACCCTCCTCGTCTCTACCTCCAACACCACCTTCCCTACGCGCGCCCGCCTACAACAGGGGCTGTGCAGGGACGGACTCATGGAGTGTTTGCGCAGCGGCCACAAGAGGGAGATGCTGCTCACCGAACTCGACAAGGAGGTGGAGGAGGTGGGTGGGGAGCAGTGGGAGAGAGCACTGGGAGCGGCGACGCCAGACGAGACCTGGGACCTACTGGGAGGAGCAGCACGATCGGCCATGCTCACGACTTTCGGAAAAAGTGGCACACCCGACGAGATCGACCAGCTTACGAAGCGAGCCAAGCAATACCGACTCGAGCTCCTTAGGAAGCGACGAACACTGCGACAGAGCCTAACACCAGAACAGTGTGCCGACGACTACGACTGGGTACAAAACGAGCTGAAAGAAGTCACGGCGGCGCTGAAGCAGGCCCGAGAAGGTGTAGAGAAACAAAGACGGGCGCTCCTGGTCGAACGCATATGGGAGGCCTACGAAAACGGAACCTCGCCGAGATGCACCGACTACGCATCCAGTACCAGAGGAACGGACGCGGGCCAAAGAAAAGGTACTATCGATCTGCTCGAACCCACTGGCCTTGCGACTACTGGCATCAGGAGCTCGCCCATCCAGCTTTGGAAGGGGGACTAGGAGCCAGGCCTATCGACAGAAAGGCAGAAAGAGCAGCACACGAGGCCTTCGTCCAGGAGCACATCGACCGATTGCCGACCGACCACGATCTTCTTTTTCAGGTCGAGGCCGACAAGCGAGCGATGCGTAGGTATTGCCAGCGAGCCAGTAAACGACGGGCCTGGCCACCATGGGGCATCCCGATCGAGATGACATGGTTGATGATCGACCCCACCCTCCATCTTCAGGACCCAGCAGAGATCAGCAGACGACTAGAAGAAAAGCGAGTAGCAGCTGCAGAAAAAAGGTGGGATGAAGATGAGCTCGCACACTACGCGACACTGGGACGATGCAAGAAGGGGAGGGAACTGCTTCGACGGATGGGGTGGACGGAAGGTACCAGGTTGGGACGTGTGCCGACAGCGACTGATGGGACAGAAGGAGCCGCCTGGGAGCAGCAATCCTATGCAGTGGGGAGGGGCAGGTACGCAGGACTAGGTGCAGACACGATTGCGGACCACAGCAAAGGGCACATGAAGTACCTAGACCAATTCCTTGCACAATGCCGAAGTTGTCAGGTCACCCCGTTGGACTGGCACCGATCACAAGCATTCCCAGCAGAGAAACACAACAACAAAGAAGGGATACTAGGGAAGCGTATACTACACGTCTACGATTCCTTTGGAATGGCTTGGCACTCAGGCATTCACGCACGTGGTTCACCCACAACGCAGGCGCCCTGGGCCCAAGGAGGCCTCCCACACCGCTGTCGGGAAAACGCCATCCTCTGCGTACAAGCGGCCCAATGGAGGGCGGCACAAGGGGGGGTGAGCACAATTACAACCAACTACGACGGCACCAACGCGTTTGCAGCCACCAACCGAGCTTTACTCAGAGCGGTCGCCTTCAGGCAAGCACACGAGCACGACCAGCGCTTCGCCATGGCAGCAATTGACCACTCTACCCTGACGCTCGAAGCTGCCGACGGCACAGTCGAAGCTGAGAGCACCACAGGCGCCCAAATGGGTTTCACCCTCTGCCCAAGGCAATTCAACGACGCATACAACCTGTACGTCACAAAATGGTGGGAACAAGGCCGCACGGACCCTGACCAGATCATCCACGACACGACCAACCCAGTCGCAGGCAACACTCACGACTTAGCTCTCAACACGTTCATGGACGACATCACCTATGTGCTGACAATCCTACCCGCAGCGACGGCTGGCGATATTGAACAACAACTCAACAGCAACACAGAACGCCTTTCCCAAACAATAGCAGCAGGAGGATGGGGACTCAACAATGCCAAGACCAACCACCTACTATACCTAGTAGGGCAAGGCTGCTACGGGAAAACCAGACAACTCAGACGCAGCAAAACACTGCAAGGCCAGGCGCTAAGGGAGATGCGTGTACTTGGCCCCTACCTACCAGCTGGCCAGGGCATCACTGGCGAGGTCGTGCGGCGCATCGCAGCCATCCGCGTTGCATGGCGACAGTGCGGGATCTTCTGGACCTCTAAGGTACCCCGACAAATAAAACGCATGATGTTCATGGCCTTCGTGGTAGGCGCGGCCCTTAGCGGATTGCCTGCGCTAGTTCTGACAGATGCCCACGCAACAGCAATCGACAGTGTACTAGGCAAGTACCTACGGACACTAGCGGGAGGAGCAATGTCGTGGACCAGAACAGATGGGACAGTGAGGTGCAACAACTTGCGACAGGTGTTCAGATACTGGAGACTTGAGCGCACATCCGTATCTTTGCTTGTGCGACGCCTACGATGGTACCAGAACTGGTCAAGGCACCCTTGGGAGCACGGAGCAGTCATAGCAGCGGTGTTCGGAACATCCAGACTAGACGCGGCTCAGGACATACGGCGACTAGAGGGGCAGGGATTCGTGGGGCCCACCTCCACCCCGTGGGCACAGCAGTTTGCAGCCGACATGCATGTGATAGCAACAGTGGACGAGAGCATGGGATGGTATGCAGACAGGGAATCCGACCTCGCCATATTCGAACAGGGGAGTACGGAACAAAAAAACTGGTTACAAACAGACCCATCAATATTGCACAGTTACGAGCGAAATTGGGATGTGCTCACGACACGAAATGCGACGATACAGGAGGAGGAGGGCAGGGAGGAGGATACATTAAAACCTTACTGGTGCGATCATACGACGAAGGGCGAGAACGACACGGAACAGAGGTGTGGAATGCGCTTTGCGACATACGCAGCACTAGTTGGGCATCGCCGAGAGACCCACAACATCCGACCAGCGGTGGCGTCCGTAATCGTCAACAACCAGTGCCCCTGGTGCAAGAGCACATTTATTAATCGTAAGGTATGTGTCGACCACGCAGTCAGGGCTGTACACGGCCACGGTATCTGCCATCAAGACAGGTCGATGTGGCCCCACCCCATTTCCGACCCCAGCTCTCTTAGCTGCCAGATCTGTAACCACGAGGCTCAAACTCTTGAGGATTACCACGCACACATACGTGAGCACATAGCAGGGCCAGAGTCGATCAGAGCAGCACGGGGAGAAGGAGCACATGTCGCACGTGGGCCACGGCGACTGGCGCATCAGAGCCAGCACAAAGAGAGGAGGGGGCGCAGCCGAAGGGCAGCGACCAGCACAGCGCCCGCACCTCGGAGGAGGCGGAGTCGGCTCGTCAGACACGCAGCAGTCGCAGCAGACGCCGCAGCAGCCGCCCCCCACCCAGCGCCGAGGAGGAGGAGGTCGAGGTCCCCCAGGAGGCGGCCGTGGTGGTGGAGGAGGCGGCCAGGTGGAGCTTCGGGATCAGCTGAGATCGCTCCAGAGGCTCACCCTCCAGAACTCGAACGAGATTCGCAATTTTCTGCATCTCACGGGAGAGTTCTGGCTGACGCCGCTCGAGCCAGAATGGGTGCAGGCGCCGATGGAGACAGGCAGGGAGTACGGGCGGAAGGTAAAGCAGCTGGGCAAGGGGCACGGCCTCGGCCCACCGCACGGCCAGGTGGCGGCGAGCTTGGTCGAGGAGATCGTGGCGGTGCTCGATTCGGAGGAGCAGAAGCTCGACGCGTCCCTCCTCCACGTGAGACAGCTTCTGAAGGAGTTCATGAGCCAGCTCGACGAGCCCTGGGGACCAATCTTCATCACGGATGTCTTCTTGCAGTGCAAGATCCAGGAGGCATACAACAAGACGGGCGAGGACGTGGAGATGGACATCAAACAGTGCAAGGCCAAGCTCATCTACACGATCAACACGGCGCCGAGCTTCAGGGCCGTGCTGCACGACCAGAAGCTGGAGCAGGAGCAGTACGACAAGATCGCGGGCTTCAAGGGGGACATATTCAAGCAGGCCCTGGGCCACGCGCTGGCGCACCTCGGGGCCACGAAGAGCCGTTCAGGAGGCCCGAAGACGGGCCTGGAGAGGGCAGTGGAGGCGCAGCTCAACAGGAGGTGAGCCAAGGCGCACCCCAGCCAAAGCCCAGCAGCTCGCCCCGCCGCGAGCGAGAGAGCCCCGCGGGCCAGCTCCCGCCAGGCCCGCAGCCCAGCGGAGCCAGCAGCTCGTTGTCGAGCAGCGCCGTCGAGCCACGCCTCAACCCCATGGGGCGCCCTCGTGCCTGGCCACCATCATCACCGCCAGTGAGCCGAGAGGAAAAAATTGCACAGCAGATTAGTGCAGACCTTGTTCGTATGACGAGTCTCAGAAGCCAGGCCGAACAACACGGAGGCCAGATGGCATACCTATATCGGATGGCTACGTATTATCGGGACTTACGACCAAGGGACTATTACCAGCCTATGGCAAAAAAAATGAGGGGGACGGCAGACCTTCTAATTATACAGCCGTCACCCTACCATTACACGGGATCCCACTACCTACGCCCCCTCCCCCCACCAACTCCCACTGCCCAACCTACCATCTCTTCCCTAGGCAATCAGCTCTCTACTAGTTCCCCACACAGTCGGGGTTTGTCTGTCATGCAGCATCGTGGATGCACGCTCGAAGCCGACGTATCTGCGACCTCGCACCGGACAGTATACAGAACGACGGTACATGCTACAGGGTACACATCGCGTACTATGACAGCATACACAGGGTACTACCACACCACAACATCCATCACAGCCATGCGATTGTGATCCGACCACGGTTAGACCTCTCCTCTCCCGCTCAGATACATCCAGCTCTTGCCCGCTTTAGTTATCACAACTGTTACCTTTCCCGACCTCCAGAGGGTAGAGTGAGTAAGAGCAGCATACGAAGGAAAGGCACAGGATTCCGACAGCAGCAAACGACCGTGCCTACGCCTACCCTCACATCAAGGTCCTACTACGGTTCCTTACGGCCCAACCACTGGGAACTAAGGAAACTACTACATATCTAAGGTGTACAACAGTAGGCGGGAACCACTAAGGTAAACGAGGATCGGTACACAGCTCGACATACTACCAGAGGACATTTGCGACTCGAGCATCTTCGCGGCCTCTCTATCCATTGCTGGCGGACACTCCGCCTACGTCCAGATCCAGCGCCCCGCGGGCGCACGACCAGAGCTGCGATGGCGGCGCAGGCGCACACGGAGAAGGGGGAGATGGCGCAGCAGCCAGCTGCAGAAGAGCATCTGCAGCCGACGATAGTGCAGAAGCCGCACGACAGAGGAGGCATGGGAGGAGTGGCGGACCAAGTGGCGGGCACGGCGGCGCACAGGCTCGAGATCGCGCACAACACACTCCAGAGCACAGCAGTCGCGTTCAAGGTGGCAACCGAGCACTGCGAGAAGGCCCTCCACGCGCTCCACAAACAGCGGGAGAAGGTGGTGACCACCTTAGGCCGCATGAACGCGAAGAGCCTCAACCCATATGAAGAGGCGGAGCGCAGCCAAGCGAAGCTCTACCTCAAGGAGCAGCTCCACGACATCAACTGCGCCATCAGCTCGATGAGGAGCGCAATCGGCATCACCGACGACAAGATGGGCAAGACGATGCACGGGCCGATGCCATGGGAGCTTGACTACACGAGGCGCCAGGCCGACGAGATCGACAACATATACACGCGCTGGACTAAGGGCCCGCACGGCTACGCCTACGACGAGGCCTTCTTCGCCTGCGACGCG